GGTCATATGCAAACCAGACCTCAAATTAGGACACAAAGTTTACAGAAAACCCACCCACACATACACAAAAACTCCACAAAAACTCCAACTACACAAAAACTCCAACCACCACCCACAGCAGAAAAGAGGCATTATCAAAACCCTCATGGATTGTGCCAATCAAATCTGTGAAACACAATTCCTAAACTTAACCATCTTAATTGGGCCCTACAAGCGAATGGCTACTCCAAGAACAAAATATTTTTAAAGAATTTATTTGCAAATCATGGTGGAAAATAAGTATTTGGTCAATATCAAAAGTTCATCTCAATACTTTGTTATATATCCTTTGTTGGCAATGACAGAGGTCAAATGTTTTCTGTAAGTCTTCACAAGGTTTTCACACACTGTTGCTGGTATTTTGGCCCATTCCTCCATGCGTGAACACCTCCTTCCATCAGCAAGGGCATTGAAGATGAAATGTGGCTGGGTCTTTCAGCATGACAATGATCCCGTGAACACCTCCTTCCATCAGCAAGGGCATTGAAGATGAAATGTGGCTGGGTCTTTCAGCATGACAATGATCCCGTGAACACCTCCTTCCATCAGCAAGGGCATTGAAGATGAAATGTGGCTGGGTCTTTCAGCATGACAATGATCCCGTGAACACCTCCTTCCATCAGCAAGGGCATTGAAGATGAAATGTGGCTGGGTCTTTCAGCATGACAATGATCCCGTGAACACCTCCTTCCATCAGCAAGGGCATTGAAGATGAAATGTGGCTGGGTCTTTCAGCATGACAATGATCCCGTGAACACCTCCTTCCATCAGCAAGGGCATTGAAGATGAAATGTGGCTGGGTCTTTCAGCATGACAATGATCCCGTGAACACCTCCTTCCATCAGCAAGGGCATTGAAGATGAAATGTGGCTGGGTCTTTCAGCATGACAATGATCCCAAAATTACAGGCCTCTCTCATCTTTTTAAGTGGGAGAACTTGCACAGTTGGTGGCTGACTAAATACTTTTTTGCCCCACTGTATATTCAACATATAGGTTGAATAAGAGTAGTTGATTGCAAACTGATTTATAAATGCATCTACACATCCCCCTCACTCTGGGTTAAGGATGCCTGACCAACCATTCTTAAAAGGCACTTTTGCAGGATGCAGTCTTCCTCTCATCCCTAGCCAGTTAACTTTTCTGTCTGAACCAGAGATGAAGTGGTGTTTTCAGTCTTCTTCTAAGTCAACCCTTGTTATTTGCATAATGTTAGCACTTTGATGGAGACTGCCCAGATGATGCAATGAGTGTGGGATTTGCCCAGTACTTATTGGCTACTTTTATTAATGCAGACACACTGCCTCCCCTCCAGTTGCCTATGATGGATAATGGCCAGACAGCAGGAGGGAACATAACATTTTGGCATAGCACATCAGCAGCCATGTTAGCAAGTGACCCTGCAGAAGGTGAATAACCTGCTGACATGCTGAGTAGAGGCTCCATACATGTGTTAGCACCTTTGATGACAGATCACATGGCAGTGACTGTGCTGACCTGGGAAAGTCCTCCCACTTCAGTTTGCCCCTGCACCTGCCAACATTATTAACAGTGTGCCAGAAATCTTGTATGTAGTGGTGCTGGCTGGTGAGAGATTCCTTCTGCTACAGCCAGTACTGTCATAGTTGCTGGCTTATGGCACGTGGGGAATCCCACTGCCTGCATGGCATATCACTTGTCACGTTTTCCACAGTGAAAATTTCTTTTGAACCATTCAGGTAGATAGTCCATTCAGCTGTTGGGGGTACGTTTCTGCATTGGGCAGGGGGTTAGACTAGATCATCTTTAAGGCCACTTCCAACTCTTTTATTCTATGATTCTATGATATCTCTGTTCTCAGCTTCTTTAGCGTAAGCATGTCAACCAACAACAATGAATCTGAAAAAGAGGGCGATTCTGCAGGAATCTGGACAGGACCAGCTCTTTAGACAGACTCAGATCAGCATGATATATGGGACAAAAAGAGAAAAAAAGGAGTTCCCCCCAACCAGATATTCTCCAGTTCTCTCAAATGTGACTCATATCAATATACATTTGTTTTTTTATTATTAATAATGATATAGTATTCTGTATTTTCTATGACCCATCATCTACTGTCTCTGTGCTCAATTTTTAAAGAAAACCTGCAATTTGTGGTCTGGCTACAGGGCTATGATTGACAAGGAGCATCCTCTCTGTAAAGCCAATACACTCCTGTATGTTTGCAAAGACTAATATATCCCTGAAGGGACAGAGAGCCAGATGGTTTCATATGGTTCCTTGGAGTCAGGGCATAGGTTCATAAGGCCATTCCAGCATTAATTGGGGCAATGCTCCATCTCTTAGCCAACTGACTACCATTTAGCTCTAATTCTCTCAAGAGTTCGAATAAGATCTACAGTAAAAATCAGAAAAATAAGATAGCACAGTCTTTTGACACATTCTCTGTACGGAGCTGTGTTCACTTGGATAAGGCAGATAACTTAAAATTTAAAAATATCTAACCGTGCTGAATTCAGAGGCAGTAGGGAATATTCTCCTCACTTAAAGAATTGAGAAGAGGAGAACAAATTGCTCATTCTTGAAGAAGAAAAGTTTCTTTAATGTTATGGTTAGTTTACCACAAGTGGCTTTTGGAAGGGTCATTATGTTCCAAATGTTTAGAAAGATGGAACACATACATAAATCTATGGAATGCATAACTGGATATATCTTCTGGCTTTATGCTATTGTAATGGGTAATTATGTTTTTAAATTTGATTTGTATTGTTTTTAGCCCAATTACATGTTGGGTGATTGTACGCTGCTCAGAGTCAGCTGACATGCCTCACAGTGTCATTTTTATTACAAATCCCATTGCATTGCACAGATAAAGACTTTTTAAAATCTTCACAAAGTATTATTCAGTGTCATAGCATTTGACACAGATTTTAAGGAAAACCGAGGGAGAGAGGGAGAGGGA